GCTGCAGGGAGATGTCCAGCTCATTGCTCCAGACCTACAGAGAAATGGACAAACAGGCAGGAAACTGCTGAGAAGCCTGAGAGTGGTTCCACTTTATCTGTTCTGCCAGCACTCACCAGGACATGAAAAACAAACAACATCACAAACCCCATTTAACTGCCTCCCAGTCCCCATATTCCTGTTAGAACTCCCCATTTCCCTGACAGAAAATTTGGAGGGGCTAAATGGAGAACTGTTGCTCCATTGGTCAGAGAGGGTGTTCAGGTAGTAAATGTTGCTGTCGCAGCTGGGTTTCCAACGTGTTCAGAGAGATTTCTCCCAGGACAACCACTTATGCAAGACATCTATTGCAGTGAATCATTATCTCCCCATTCCTTATCAGACCCAGGTCACAACAGGGCACTGATTTGCACCTAGAAAGCACCAGGCAGGCACTTTGGCTACCTCCACACAAATGGGCTGGAGCTGGAATCCACAGCCCTCAAGGCTACATTTGCAAGAGTCATTAGTTCTGTGGCTTTGAGAACAGCTCAGCATCTGCAGGAGCCAGCCTGAGTCCAGGGACATCTGGTCAAACCTCTCTTCTCCACAACCTTCCCAAAGGCTGCTCTCAGGGCTAAGTCCCACTGAAACCACATCTGGAAGGGCTGGGCAGGGCACCTGCCACTTTACCTTGACTGTGCAGTCTTTGGAGCAGGATGCAAACAGGCAGCCAGAGTGCGAGAAGCTGAGGTGCAAAACCTGGTCACTGTGCTCCTTCAGGGCCTGCACCTCTACGCAAGGGATGGTGTCGTAGAGCCTCTGGAACTCATCATACCAGGAGACAGCAGCTGCAACACAGAGCAGGGACACGGGACAGGAGTGTGAGCGGAGGGAAGCCCAGAGCTGGGCTAAACACGGCATCAGTCTTTAATAAACCAATCCTAGCTCCTGTGAGCAATGCCAGGAGCTCTGCTGGGGCACCAACGCATGGCTGCAGCTGAGTTACCAGCACTCACCATTTTCCTCAGTAGCTTCCCTAACCCCCCACAAAAAAAAAGCCTTTCTGCCAGTACCCACACAGCTCCACATCACACCTTCCAAACCAGCACAGACTCTGCTGAAACAGCCAGGGCAGAGCTGCTGGCTGTCAGACCAAAACCTTGCCCAGGATAAAACAGTCCTCCGAAGGGAGACATGCTCCAGTACAATCAAACCAACCAGGAAGGGAAGCTGCTTCTCACCATACCCAGCTCTGCATTGATTATCTCTGTCTTGTCTAATGCAGAATTAAGACAGTTCTAGAAAGGGTCTGGGACCAGAAAAAAAAACATCTCCATGAGATAAGAGACTTGAAAGAACGAGAGAGAAGAATGGGAGCTGGACAGAGCGTGCCAGGAGAGGAGGAGCCCTGCAGCAGCACAGCCTGGGGTACACTCACAGCAGTCCCACTGACAGCCAGTGAAGAGACAAATAAAAAAGATTTTTAACGAAGGGCCCGGCCAGGCAGCCTACAAACTTCTTGCAGCAGCAAATCCCAAAGAAGCAAAGAGGATGAGGCATGTATATGGATAAGGGCCAACTTTCCTAGTGACACTGAACAGGACTGAAGGATTTTTTGGAACGTGCTGCAGCCCGGGAGGCACCTGGTCCTAGAGGAAGGGACCAGTTGATACCAGCACATGCCACTGCTGCTCGCAGCCTGGGCACTTCAGGCTCCTCTGAACCTCCTGGGCCCAGCCCATGTGGCTGGGAAACAGCCTGGATAGGCCCCACCTGGCCAAGCAACCCCAACCTTTCCTCTTACAGACCCACTGGATACCATTCCCCCAACCGTGAAGCTGCCCAGTGCAAGCAAGCTGGCAGAGGTATTCACCAAACTCCCTTTCCAGGCCTGCCAGCTGTCCCTGTCCTGCTGCCTCATGGAGGGTGCCTACAGCTCCAGCAGCCAGGGAGGTGCCTGAATATGTTACTGAGCTACACCAACTGCTCCATCCTAATTAGTGCTCAACAACAGGGCTGGCAGCTGACTAACCAGCTCTAGGAGGCTGGGAGGGAACAAGGCTGGTCAAAGAGTCTCAGATAAACCCTAAAGAGAATGTCCTAAGCCCCACAGAACTCCCAAGGTCTGCAGGAGTGAAGTCATGCAGCCTGAGTCATCCCATCCACATCCCACCTCTCCCTAGAGCCCTTCTGCTCTGGTGTTCCTGGTGCAGGGAGATGGGCTCCTGCTGCTTGATCCCTGGCATTTCTTCCTGTATTTCCTGGCATTTCTTCTGTAGCCACTGCAACTCCCGATCCAGGACCCAATTCCCTCAGCCACTGCTGGGAGCCCCCTGCAGCATACCGGGAACAGGCTGCTTGAGCTCTGAAAGAAACTGCCCTCGGCAGCGGGGGTTCCTGCTGGCAGGTCCCCAAGGCCTGTCCCAGCGTGTGACAGTGCAGCCACCCTTCCAGACTGCACCGACTGCTTCCAGCACTGGATGCTCAGAGGGAACAGAGCTGTGACAACATGACTGCCACCCTGGAGCCCTCTGACAGCTTGGACAGGGATGGCCGTGTGGGGCTCCCTCAGTTCCTGCTATGAGCCCAGATCGAGCCCCACCTGCCCTGGCACAGTGGGGCAGCTGCTGCCTCAGCATGTGCCCTCAGTGCCATCACAGGGCCACACGCCCCTCTGCGCAGCCCTGGGCAGCCAGTGTTGCTGTGGCAGTGCCCAGTCCAGCTGGGGGCTGCAAGGTCCTGGTGAGGCCAAGCCAGCAGTGGTTCCACACACCCCAGGCCAGCTGGGATGCAGCAATGTGTGGTGACCCACTATTGCTCCCGGGATCTCTCTGGGCTGCAGCCACTGAGAGCAGCTGCCTAGAGAGCCCAGACACCTCCTTTCTGTGAAAGGGAAGGAAAGGGAAGCATTTTCAGCCCTTTGACCCCATTTCTGAAGGGTCTGGGCAGCCCCAGAGCCCCTCCCGTGCACAGCCCATCTCGGAGCACAGTGGCAGAGCTGAGGGGACGGTTCGGGGGGCTCCACCGCCCCACCACGGGCGGGGGGGCGCAG